ATTTGCAATTCACGTTGCTAGTAAAGAACAAAGATGAAACAGGTTTTCAAGTGATTGAATCTTGATATGGATCATTTCGAGATAAAGGCCTGTTCCTCCTTGCATAGTTTCTTCCGCGATCCTGGAAAACCTAAGGTAGCCATAGGTTAGAGGATTCTCGAGTTGCATTGCCAAAACTCCGCCTATACTAGTAGGATAGTTCGTGGGTACTGGTTGTCCTACAGCACCGTCGTATATGTATCAGGAGTTCCGATGGTCCGTACTGGTGGGATCTTGAGTTACAGACGATGAACCGGAAGTCGCCCTGGGGATGGAGTGTACGATTCAGGATCATGGAGTCAAGGAATCGCCGTGTTTCCTTTGAGAGACCAGGCGTCAGAAAGAACGAAAAACGTGTCCGAGGATATATATACTCACCGGACTCGAGTTCTCAACGCTGCGAAGTACTCCCATTGGATTTAAAGCAGGTCACGGTCCTGGACTGGTCGGATGGTTCGTTGACTTGACGATATCGCACATCCAGTGCAGCTGGGGATTCTAACTTCAGAGTGTGGTCGATGCCGTTTTCAATCGAGCTTTGACACGAATGAGTAAGTTTTAGTATCCGGTTGAAGGCGAGGTCCTAGGATTGGGGAGAGCGATGGCGATTAGGATATTCGTTACTCAGATAACCAGAACCTTGGCCCCACACCTGACACCGGAAGGTCGTTACAAAGTGTGGCTTGATGAATGATATCGCACCAACACACCCAGTCTCTAATCCAACGGTATATCGGGGAAATTGAGGTTCCCGTTCATGCGGGTGAGATCTTGAAGTGCCGAACAAATGAACCAGAAGTTGGCCTGGAAATCGAGTATACGAATCAGGTGTGAACTTGAAAGGTTCGTGAAGGGATCATGGGGTTTCTGAAAGCCGTGTTTATTTCGAGATTCAGAAATCAGGGCTCAGAAAGAACGAATACGTGCCCAAGGATACGAACACTTACCGGGCTCGCCGCTCGAGTTCCCAACGCAGCTAAGTACTAGTATCCGGTTGAAGGCGAGGTCCTGTGATTAGGGAGAGAGCGATAGAGATTAGGATCTTTTTTTCCTCGAATAACCAGAACCTTGGCCGCTCACCGGAAGTGCGGATGGTTCGTAGTCTCACCTACTCAATCGCTCGCAGGCTCGCATGATTCGGAAAGGCATATTGCACTAACACAACCAGTCTTCCAATCCAGTCATCGGTGTATCGAGTAGATGCTAGTGAAACCTAGAGCTAAGAGCAACGGACCGGAAGCTGTTCTGGAAATGGCATCGAGTGTGGACTTTGAAGGAATCGCGGAGTGAAGCGTGTTTTGACTGGCATTTCGAAATGACAGAGCAACGAACCAGAAGTTGGACTGGAAACCGAAGACAAGGTGAGAAGATTGCGAAGGAATTGACGAGGTCGTGGATCGCGTCAGTGCGTCCTATGTTTCTTTCGAGAAATCAACGGTGAAAACGTGCCCACTTCCGAAGAGTATGAATAACTCACCATAACCCCAATTCCTCACTTCCCATTTCCACTCCTTCCGTTCAACGCTGCGCGAAGAGAAACACAAAGAACAAAAATTGCACTCTTACAGTTTCGTACCAATGTACGAAACCGTAAGAGATGCATAGGCCTAACTGGTAATTGAACCCAGTACCTCCTGAATTCGAGTCTCCATCCCAGAGCAGGAATCATGCCCTGATCCTGCCTCTCGACGTCGGGGAAAGAGTCTAGGCACATAGGTACCCGCACAGCCACATGACAACTGAACACGCAGCCGACAACGTATACGCTTCTTCAATCGTAACTTTCTCAACTCAACTACTTCTCGAAACGGATAGACATACTTAGAGGTATGGCCTTGACTTTGTTTTAATGCTACTATTTGCATCCGAGTCCCATCGACTCCCTTTCACAGCATTATTGAGCTCGTGTCAACATCTCAAAGGTCCCCATTGGCGAATCTTGTAAGTGTTTACCTTTCCATTTAGGCCGCGATTTATTTGATTTTTTTAGCAAGGATTATGAACACTAGACGACGATCAACATCATACGAGGTATGGCTTCTATCCACCTAGTTCGCGTCTGATTCTTGCCTCACAGATCGCGACCGAATATCAATGAACCTTCAACTTTGGTAACATTCGTGGCTTTCAGTTTTGTTTAATTTACACATTCTGACATCCCATACCTTCGAGTTATCGACTCGCGAAACTTCGGCATTTGAACAGGGCCTAGTCTGGCGCGTTCTACCGAGTCGACGTTTCCAGACCTTTGATTAATCACTGCGAAGAACGTCTACATTCTCTCGGACTCTAACTAGCTAGGGCACTGAAGACGTCGCGGAATCTAAGGTATTTTATGCTTGACCACCAGGGACAATGGTAGCCTCTGTATACTCGTCCTCATCTCTTCTGGCCGTCCTAACCTTCCAGGTCGCTAATGTTGGGCTAGTTAACCCCCTAGCCGTTTCGTGCAAGTTCAGCATAAGCCGACAAAGCATAGTTGCTGAAATACTGAAAGGGTAGATATTAGTACATACTCAAAGCTGCCAAGGAATCTAGGCGGACATGCTATACGCACCAAGTCGCGAATGAGGATAATCCTCCACGCATGAATGGCTGGGTCGAATCAACTGTTGATTGCATGCTAGTAAATAAAATCAACTCACGCCACAAAACTTGCAAGGACAAGTCAGAAGTCAGCGGATCCATCGTCCAAATGTCGGACACTCACATAGAACGTTAATATGTTAGCTAGATTTGCCAATGTCATGCAACTATGGTTCGAGTGGCTGTCAGCCCTTCATCAAAGACCAAGGGAAATACTCGCCCAAAATATATCGCTCCGTCTCTGAAGAGTAGCGATAGAAGACTCGGTCGATTTGCTTTTCCAATACCAAATTCGTGCCAGAATTCGTACGTCCGAGCGGCCGTCAGAGTGAATATGATGGTGTCGTAGACAAAGAGAGTTAGCCAGATGCCAGCAATTCCTAGTGATGATCAGTACACATGGAAGGACAGGCAGTGTTTAGATATCCATACGTAGCGACCTATTGTTGATCCTACTCAATGAAAAACACATCTCTAAAAGAAACAGCCTGACTCACGTTTGTCGGGATATCCCAAGGTGACAGCCCAGTTGAATAGGATAGTGTACTTGTTCTTGACCAGCAAGCACATACTGTTAAGAAGCAAGTCAGATACGGACAAGGTTGAACCTTGATGAGCTCACGCACACCCGAGACACCTGAAACGACCAACACAGTCGCCCCAAAAAGCCATAATATTCGCTTGTCGGCGCAGTATAGGGCGTATATTCTGATCATCAGCAATGCTAATAAGAGTGAAGGTGTCGGTCTTTGCGAATGTCACGGTCGAAAACATGTGGCACTCACTACCAGTTATACAATGTGATAATAGTAATATGACTTGACGGTAGAGGGTAAATGTGGGGCAGCTGGTGCAGCAATTACTAGTTGAGGTGCCTGTAGCCTGCAAATGGTGCGACTACTTACCTCTGAAAAAGGATCAGTCACTGAATTCAATGCACCAGAAGGAATAAAGTCGGTACCTCTTCTTTCAACGGATAAAAAGACAAGAACAAGACTAATATGTTGCTCGCCAGGGTGAAAGCTCTAAAAGCAAGGTAAATAATACTGCTTCGCGACCTTGGGCGCATCCAGATATAATTGATCTCTCGGTCTGGTTATTATCAGAAACAGCTCTTTGTGTTCTCAGATATTCTGCTTACCGAGTGTGAGAAGGTAATCCCAAAAGACGATTCCTACAATTTGAACAAGATCTGTAATGAGTCGACACGATAGGGTCGCTAAAACCAACCTACGGCAACGATCTGCAAGACTTGATGGATATAACTAGGAACCATGCTTTCAGACACCATCTCGAGAGAACGAGAAGAGTTGGTTTACTCACTGATCTCTTATAGAGTCATCCAGCAGCGGCACATCTTCCATTTCGATGTTTGAGCAATGGGTAGCAAGCCCAGGTGAATTCTTCTGCGATTTGAGGGGCCTTAAGTATCCTCCAAATTGTTCCCGGTACATTCAAGGTGTCATTCACTTTGGTAGATGACGGCTCGGAATTGAGCAACCCAAGGCTATCTGGTTTCACTACATGATGAGATGGCATATGGCTCGGGGGTCGTGAGTGTTGAACGTTAAAGAAGGCATTGAGGCCCGGACTAGAACACAAGATTGAGCGATGTGCTAATGAAATGGGTTTAGCGCATGAATAGACTTACTGGAATGTGTCACTGTAAGGAAATCGTTAGAGCCTTTCCGGGATTCGTATACGGTCCTAGTCTAGGGGACACACAAAGACTTGAGAGGAGATGCTTATTGCCCAAAGCCGAGTCGAGCCAGGTCGAAGGGATGGCGAGTATGCAAAACGCACGTGTAATAGGTTGAGGGTATAATCAATCCTGGCAAGAGATGTAACACGAAACAGGGGCAGGGTGCTTTTGAGCCGAGAAAGCCCAAATGAGTTTTATGTGCATCATACGTGGTCAGGCGTACCAAACAGTGGGTATTTGACGACTTGAGATGAAGTATCGCCGGCGCCGGGTGGAAATGTGGAAATTTCAAATTTGAAAGAGCGTCACGGTAAACGACGGTCACTTAATATGCGAAGAGATCAAAGTTTGAATTTCTTCGTCGCAAATGTGGAGATAGATTGAAAACGTCGAGGCCCCGGTGTATGAGAGTAGGAGAGCAAACAGAGGCGGAATCTTCAAGTTGAGCGCCTGTAGTACATATGGTGTTTCATCCGAGAATCTGGACCAAGAGTCAGAAGGAGTCAGCTTCCGAAGAGTACGAAAAACTCACCAAAACCGAGAACTCCCTAATTCCACCCCTTCCGTTCAATGTTGCGCCCGCGAAAGAGAGACAACACGAAACACGAAAGAGAAGAACAAAAAGTGCACTCTTACAGTTTCGTACCACCGTACGAAACCGCAAGAGATGCATGGGCCTAACTGGGAATTGAACCCAGGACCTCCTGCATTCAAGAACTTCAAGGGATACCCAAAGCAGGAATCATACGACTAGACCATTAGGCCGGTGTTGGTCTGTCAACATAGGGAAATCGAATGGACAAGGAAGAGAGGTAAATAGGCACCAACACAGCCACATGACAAATGAACACGCTGCCGCAGCCGACAACGCTTCTTCAACTTCAATCGTAACTAACACTTTCACTCAACTCAAAACTCGCAGGACGAACAATGCTAACAACCCTCTCCCTAATCGCCCTTCTCCTCGCCCTTCTCCTTCTAGTTCATTTCTACGTTAAACCATTCATACCGATCCCAGAGTCGTGGGTTGAGAGGTTTAACAGACGGGGTGTTGGTGCGTGTCTTTCTTCCCATTCTTCATCTCCTTCCTTCCGACGTACACCCAACTAACAACAAACATACACCCAGGTTACACCCCTCTAAGAACCTTCGCCGCCCAAGCCGCCTCTGGTCTTTCTTCATCCACATTCGACATCGAGTCTGCAAATATCCGCGAAGGGGACTCGAGGATGGGGTTGGATGAGGACGGTGTTAGGGATGTTAGGGAGATTATGAGAATTGAGGGTGTTGGGTGAGTGCTTTATCTCGTTGGTTTCGGTTTCGTTTTGGCTCGCGGTTGGTTGCGGTTGGCGGTGTTTCTCCTTTCTCCTTCTTCTTCAACCAAGTCTCGATGCTGACGATATGCACAGGTTTGATCAAGCGAGGTTGATTAGGCAGAATAGGATTTTGGCTGAGAATGGGATTGATCCTAGTGGTGAGTCGTGTTCTCTCTTTGCGCGTTGTTGGTGCTCGCGAGGACCAAGTCGGTTCGAACGCCGCCGCTTTCCTTCGCTCCTATACGCTTCTCGACCGTGTTACTCATGCGCTCTGTCACGACAGGTATGCCACTGGATTCAAAGGCTGTTACGAGGCTTTAGCGAACGCGGACACTCTTTCCTTTCTCAAAAAAAAATTGCTACACATTCATTGGAATTATCTCTATTGCTGTTGTATTCGTACCTCATACTTGTACCCATGCTTAGTTCGTTATTTATTTCACGAAGGCGTGTTTGATCTGCCAGACCACACAACCGTTTCCGCCAGATGGGAGATGGTTAATTATTTGATGCATGGTACGGCTCACCGCAAAGTTCAAGAACACCCAGATCCTTCCATAGTTGTCATCGTGATTCATGTTACAATCATATGGTGCATGATGCACAATCCCTTCCAAGAGACGACTAAAGAATGACTGGCAACCAGCCGGACCTAGTTGATGGATATGTGCAGATCGCTAACGCGCGTGATAACTGCAAGCAAAACATATGAAATTTCACGAGATACTCAAAGACAAGTGTCTACAGAGTATAGTAAAAGTCATTGTCCAAGAAACGATATTTAGGTTTTTTTTACGAGTTATTCGAAATCAGAAGGCTTCATGTAAACGAATCACGATTATCAAGCACAGAAAATTCAACGACGAGCTGGAGGAGGAGGTACCTGGCCACCTTTGGGCGGAGCAGGCTCACCCTTTGGAGGGGGCGGGACTTCCTAACGACGCTGAGGTGGCGGAGGTGGTGGAGCCTGACCATCCTTAGGAGGCGCAGGAGTTCCAGGTGGTGGAGGAACATCAGCACGACGCTGAGGTGGTGGAGGTGGCGGCGCCTGACCACCCTTGGGAGGTGCGGGAGTTCCAGGTGGAGGTGGGACTTCCTGACGACGCTGAGGTGGCGGAGGTGGTGGAGCATGACCATCCTTAGGAGGCGCAGGAGTTCCAGGCGGTGGCGGAACATCAGCACGACGCTGAGGTGGTGGAGGTGGCGGAGCCTGACCATCCTTAGGAGGCGCAGGAGTTCCAGGTGGTGGCGGAACTTCAGCGCGACGCTGAGGTGGTGGGGACGGTGGTGCATGGCCATCCTTGGGCGGAGCAGGCTCACCCTTTGGAGGCGGAACTTCAGCACGACGCTGAGGTGGTGGAGGTGGCGGCGCCTGACCACCCTTGGGAGGTGCGGGAGTTCCAGGTGGAGGTGGGACTTCCTGACGACGCTGAGGTGGCGGAGGTGGTGGAGCATGACCATCCTTAGGAGGCACAGGAGTCCCAGGTGGTGGCGGAACATCAGCACGACGCTGAGGTGGTGGGGGCGGTGGTGCATGGCCATCCTTGGGCGGAGCAGGCTCACCCTTTGGAGGCGGAACTTCAGCACGACGCTGAGGCGGCGGAGGTGGTGGCGCGTGGCCATCCTTGGGCGGAGCAGGCTCACCCTTTGGAGGCGGAACCTCAGCACGACGCTGAGGTGGCGGTACCCGGCCACCTTTGGGAGGAACCGGCAGACCTGCTGGAGGTGGCGGAACATCAGCACGACGTTGAGCCGGCGGGGGTGGCGGCACCTGGCCATCCTTAGGAGGAAGAAGTCCCCCAGCAGGTGGTGGTGGAGCCTCACCACGACGCTGAGGAGGTGGATGAATAGGCGCTCCTACGCCGACTTTGACACCCAAGGCGTCAGTGCCAGGTTGAACAGGGAGCTAGAGTAATTGATCTGAGTGAGCATAACGTGCGATAGAATTGATAGATGAGGTGTACTCACAGCGACGGCGTATGAAGCCATTGCAAGTGCAAGGAAAGCAGGTGCAAGTCGGAAAGTCTTCATATTTGTTAAGAGTCGAGTTGAAAAAGAACTAGTAGTAGTTGTGAACCGATGAGAAAGTGTTTTGGTGAAGAGTGTCTTCCAGAACGACGAGCTTTTATACCAGTGGCACCATCTCTGGTTGAGCGGTCCATCGCTCGAAGGATGGAGTAGGCGATGGATTTGGGTCGAAGAGTTGACGGTAACATAACACGGGAATATCGCTTGTTACAATGAAGTTTCAAGTTCGCTGCGCATCCGACTGTGCGCACGGAGAAGCATCCTGGGGTAATTAGGTTAATCGAACAATAGTTGGTGGTTTGCGCCTACACAGAATGGAATGCGTTGGATCCCAGGGTGCACGTTGGAGGCTGGAGCGTCAGAGTCGTATCTTCCTACTTGTGTTACTTTGAGGATACAGCAAGGTTTTGGATTGCTAGAGCGGCGACTACCGATCGCCGAACCTCCAAAGAGTGTTGAACGCGATTCCGATTCTGGCGGGGAGTATTGTATTACTTATGTGAAGACCAGACTCGGAGAGTTATTTTTGTGGCTTTGAAATTGAACACGCAGTTATGGTTCTTCTCTATTCTCTAGAGTTCATAGCGGCTAACGACCCACGAGGACTTCTTCCAACAGCTTTTGTCCGTAAAAATACTTAGGAGATTGCCAATTATTTGATAGTAGACGTAACACGGCTCACCGTGAAGTTCAAGAACCCCAAATCCCGTCATCATGATGTTGAATGCTGAAAGCCAAACTGAAACGCGGTGCATGATCCCTTCCGCGACCTGACCAAAAGGTGAGCTTGACCTGCGAAACACTTCAGCTGAATATGTGTGCATGTCGAACTTTACCGTTTACGCATGATGTAGCGCATTCAGAGTTCGAACCTCGGAATCATTGCCTTGGATCTCAGATTTCAGCGCTCGACATTTCTAGGGTTAATGACGAAAGCGCTTACTGAGCTATGAATCACAAGCAGACCAGTGACCAGTGACCACCCGATTATCCTGGACGCTTTTACCAAAGAACTCTCAGAGCTCGAAACATGTAACCGGTTTCTCGTAAATCCAGCCCGACTGGCGAATCCGCTAAACTAGTTTGGTCGCGTATGGAAGTCACCCGAGCTCTTCTCCAAGTTCGAGTTTCTTGAGGTCTGACTCGGTCGACGTCTTTTGGGGGTGTGAACATGCTGAAAGGAGGCTAGTGAGTTTACAGAGAACAAAGAACAACGGCGAGCGGGCAAGGGGTGAACGTTTTGACGTGTAATCTTGAGGAGAGGACGCTCAAATTTCAAATCTCGACTGAACAGCAGAAATAATAAGTCAAACCTATGAATACAACTTGTCAACGCGACGATCTCGAAAGAAAGGAAAGAAAAAACACACACACACACACTTCGTTCCTTCCGAGGTCTTCAACGTTTAACTTCGATATCCCTTCTCGAGCTCATGCTTCCTCCAATCGTCAGCGTCGAAGCTGAATGAGTCTTGAGAGCTAGTTTCTTGTGCATGATCTTGAACGTGAACGTGTCGATAAGAATGGTTGAGTTTTCGCGTTTATCGGAAGGGAGCGAAGGGGTGAAGCTAAGATTCCGAGAAGCCTGAGCGTGTCAAAAGCTTTCAGAACAGTGAACTACGCCGTTTTCGAGACCTTTCTGTGCAGAATGTTAGTAAATCGACTGGAAAAGCAAGACCGAGTCGGCTACGCACCGTTATTGATTTGTAGCAAACCCCAGCTCAGATTCGGTAAATCCCAAGTGGTGATGGTTTCGGAGCAAGTGGAAACTGCTAGTGGGCGCTCTTTTTCTCTTTGTTCTGATCTGCGGTAAAAGTCAAACGCATTTCTACTCACCGCCGAGAGGATTATTCATTCCGCGAAAATACATGTGCAATCCAGATAAACCAGAGACAGAGAATAGGCACCGGCCTAATGGTCTAGTCGTATGATTCCTGCTTTGGGTATCTCTTGAAGTTCTTGAATGCAGGAGGTCCTGGGTTCAATTCCCAGTTAGGCCCGTTTGCGTTTTCTCGTCGTATATTTTTTGCCTGGCGTCGATATCTAGTTTTTGGATTCGGATTCTGTATGAAAAGATGCTGATAATGTACATGAAAAGGTGGGCTCCAAATGATTTCGTGTGTCCTGCCTACTGATTGATCATCTTCATCTCCAACGATCCATGTGTATGAGGAAACGGATTTGGATTCGAGGCACACTCTACATCCCATCTCGTCGTCAATGATTCCGTGGGTCCCGACAGTGCTAATTGTTCATCTTCAGCTGAGAGCTCCAACTTCAACAATCCACGAGGAAAGGCCACGACGTACCCTGTTATTATTAATTCGGACTCGAGGCTCCACACCCGTACCCATAGCCTCCAACCTCCCAACACGATCCCTGATATCCCGAATCTCATCATGAATTTGCTTGAATTCCTGTCGAATCTCATCGCGTAGTTGTTTGAAAATCTCATCGTGCATTTGCTTGAATTCCTCTCGAATCTCTTCGTGTAGTTGTTTGAATTCCTCCCGAATCACCTGCCGAAGCTCTTGGCGAAGTTGTTGGAACTCTGGACGGAGGAGGGCTACGATTTGGTTTGCTATTTCGTTGGGGTCGAGAGTAGGAGTTGGGGTTGGGGTTGATGCCATGGTGGTGGGTGTTGAGGTCTGAGGAGAATTAGGAGGCAGACTGAAACGCGTTGAACGATCACGTCAAGTCGAAGGATGAGGCTGAGCGTGAAACTGAAAGGAACGCGGGACTGACACCGGCCTAATGGTCTAGTCGTATGATTCCTGCTTTGGGTACCCGTCAATAAACCCATGGAATACTTGAATGCAGGAGGTCCTGGGTTCAATTCCCAGTTAGGCCCTTGATAACTCTCGAATCGCGTTTTTAGATTCTTGTGTATCTGCCCAGCACGGTGATATCTAGACATTGGATTCTCAAGATCTGAAGGTGTGATGTCGACCTTGATTTTAATGATTCCGTGGGATGATGTATGTACATGAAAAGATGTAAGGTCCAAATGATTAGATACACCCCAACCTGATTTTCGTGTGTCCTGATTGATTGATCATCTCCAACGATCCATGTGCATGAGGAGAGGAAAGGCCACTGCCTACGGATCCGAGGCCACACCCCATACCCCATCTCGTCGTCAATGATTCCGTGGGTCCCGACAGTGCTAATTGATCATCTTGAACTTGAGCTCCAACAATCCACGAGGAAAGGCCACGACGTACCCTGTTAATTCGAATCCGAGGCACCATACCCGTACCCGTACCCATCACAATCATAGTCTCCGACCTCCCAACCCTCATCTCCTCTCGACGTTGTCTGAAATCCTGACGAAGCTCTTCGCGAAGTCGCTGAAACTCTGGACGGAGGAGGGCTACGATTGCGTTTGCTATTTCGTTGATTTGATTGGGGTCGTATATGGGGCTTGGGGTTGGTGTTGGGGTTGAAGCCATGGTGGTGAGTGTGGGTGTTGAGGAAGAACAGGAGGCAGACTGAGACGCGGTTTGTTCAGTTGAACGATCACGTGAAGTCGCCGTGTGAGGATAGTGCGGAAAAGGAACGCGGGACCCACAACGGCCTAATGGTCTAGTCGTATGATTCCTGCTTTGGGTATGCTTCTTTCCCCATCCTACGCTGCAGGAGGTCCTGGGTTCAATTCCCAGTTGGGCCCTTTTTGGTGTATGGCATGATCTTTTTTCTTTTGTGACGCTTACACTGGACGCTCCTATCCCAGACAACATCGCCGCTATATGCATTCTCAGAACGCGGTTAAACGCCCTGTAGGATCAACGCAAAACCAGGATCACGGATATCGTCACACGCGTAGTAGGGAAGCGAATGCCATTGTGGGTTCTTTCAATGCTTGGTGCGGACGTTGACTGGGTTACAACTCCTAGAGGCAGTGGATCAGAGTATTGGCCGTTCCCTGGTACGGTGAAGGTAACATCCTGATGCTATGGAAGAGAAGGAATGGAGAAGTAGCTTTGACGGCGATGTCGCTATTCGGAGATAATTTTCATTCTCCTCTCTTCCTCATGCAACCACCAGCTTCAGTCGTTTTTGTGTCGTTTTTCTTCATTCCAATTTTCACGGTCATTCTTTGTTTTATTTATCGCAAACCACCTCATCCAGTCGTCGCTTTTGTTTCTCTCATTGCCATTCTCGCTGGATTACCAGTCAATGTATTACACCCATACACAGACACGCTGCTCTGGACTAGCCAAGCGTGTCTGTCCATCTACCTATCTCATTCAAACTGGGTATACACAACATGTTTTAGTGGATTTGCTGTAGCTGGTACGATTCTGGTAGTCGTATCATCTGCACTCTCCTCTCTCTTCTTCGTGTTAGTCTCAACAGGCTGCATACCCCTCATCGCCTACTCGTCCCTGGTCTCAAATGCACGCCGATACTCAATCGCCTTGCTAATATCCCAAGTACTCGTCATTCTCGCTGGCGCGTTGAGTATAACAGATCTTCGTACGTCCCTTAGCCTTTACCTCGAATGAAAGCTTACTCGACCAATGGCAGCATCCACCCCCTTCACCCTGACATCCAACATTCTCCTATCCATCGCAATTTGTGGGCTAGTGTTTTCTTTTACGCGTAAGTACCCCTTGGACCTTGCTTTCCTCGGTGCCATCTAACACCCGAGGTTTCACAGTACACACCCATCCACCTCCAACACCCCAACTCCAGGTCCAGATAGCATTCACATCCCCATCCACAACCCGATTAACCTTTCCAGGGGTCGTACCCGACGTCTCCGAGTCTCGTACCTTTACCGTCAACCATCACCCAAAAACGAACATCAATATTCTACCGCGTTCTTCGGCGCCGATTACAAACGCGTCACCGAGGACAGTGACAAAGACACCATATTTGTCACCGAGGACATTGACAGGCGGAACGGGAACGGCGAAAGAACTCGGGACGCCAGTGCCAAAGTCGTATTCGGTTCACGTTCACGGCGCTGGTACTGCGGCGCATACATCAACCCCAGACCCAGACCCATCTTCCCAGCCTCCCATTACGCCTTTTTCGTTTTCACCCATCTCGCCGTTCTCACCACTTTCTCCCTTTGAACCAATAACACCTTACTATACCGCTCCTTCAACACCAACACCCAAACGAAGACATTCCATCGACTCCCCAGATACCCCAGAGTTGGAGATGTGTAGATGGCCTCGACGTAAGCTGTACAAAGAAGCAGAGAAAGAGTTGGAGTTGGATTTCTTTGCGCCGGGTTTGGATAGGACAGCGTTGGATTTGGAGAGGATAGAGTCGAATAACACGTTGGTGTCTAGCACCAACAGTTTCACGAAATCGGAGGTCTTGACGCGTATTTCGACCAATACCTCTACCAGCAGTACGGTTACGATTACTCCACCAAAACCAAAACCCAAATCCAAACCGCCTCCATCATCCTTCACGTACCCCCATCTCCACACCACACCAGCACCAGTCCGACTCCGCCCCTTCCCCTTACACAGGAACAGAAAACCACTTTCGTCGTTCTTCTCCCGCGCCAACCCAAATGGGAGGTGGAGTGCCCTAGATTCAACGTCCGAACTCGATCTTGCTGGGTCAGAAGAAGGCGAAGGGGTAGAAAGGCAAGAGGAAAGCGAAGAAGCAGAAAGTGGATGGAGAGACGACCCAGATCCGTTTGCGTTAGTTCCTCGGCCTGTGACTGTCGTTGGGTCCAGTCCTTCTATGGGCGTCGGCTCCGGCTTGGGGGAAGGAGCAGGAACACGGATGAGTGCGTGGGGACGTCTTGTTCTTCCTACGCCTCAGCCTACGCCGGAGAGAACAGGAAGGCGAACGAGGAAGAGGCCTAGGACGGCACCGGAGAGAGATCAAGTTAGGGAAGAGGCGTTGCTTGCGCAGAGGTGGTTGAGGGAGTTGGGGGAGGTGTAGTCTTGTCGTTCGTTCATTGTTGTTGTTGTTTTCGTCGTTCGTTGTTGTGTATAGCTTTCGCTCGTTTTTTCGTGTATAGTGTACGATACTGTAGATGTAGACCCAAGGACTGAGTACTGAGGGCTTGAAAGTAACATAGTGTCTGTTTGTTGGTAGTGTAGTGTAATTTACCCTTGGAGTTGGAACGTGGAAGAGAAGGAAGGAAGGAAGTTTTTTTGGGGGGGCATTTTGACAACGACATATTCTAAATCTGGATATGTTATCGCCGGTATCATATCTGTTCCCACAAGCTAAAGCACCCTAGATTCAAAGTACCTGTTGCTTGATGAGTTGGGCCCTAGGCGGTAACGAGTCTAATAGCGCCTCAGGTTCCAGTTCGCGCAATTTGAGCCCTTCAGGCAAGTGTCTCCCGTAGCCTAAAGCACTTTTCTACCATCGTCAATCTCGTGCGTCCATGGCAAGGAATCGAGAATCTATTGTGGAGAGTCGAGATACCATGTACTTAATCTCCAACCTTTTATTTGTAGACAAGGTACCTTATCCGGGACCACAGTGTGAATGTTGGAGTCGCCATGGTTCAACGTTCAACCATTCCTCTATCAAACGACTTGGGTGAACGATGCTCACAAGGACGGAGGTGTAGTCCTAGTCCCAGTCCATGTGTCGCGTTCGGTATCAGAAATTTTTTTTAAAAAAAAGAGTTTTTTGGCATTCCAATTCAAGTTCCGAACGTAGTAGAGTATGATTCCCGGGCCACAAATCTGATGTACATTTGTAGTACTCCAACACCCCAACACCTACGCCCTTCTGTCTCTTTATACTATATCTCCACCTTCACCTCAAACCCAATATTCGCTATCCCAGCACGTATATCGTCCTACGCCACATCAACATCCATACAAACCCAACACAAAAAAAACGACACTCACCACGATGCCACCCCACTCATCCCAAACCTTCACCTGCCCAGGCACCTTATTCAACTCTGTCGTATCAAAAAACGCTACATCCCCAAGCGTCATCTCGCCTTGCGCGATCTCTTGTTGACCTTCCAAATCCTTCGTAATCTTTACTCTAAACCGAGCGTTTGGTCTAAAGAAAAAATCTTCATACGTCTTAAAGATGATGTCGTTGTCGGGGAACGGCTGCATAGCCCTTTCGGGTGTATCTAAAAAGTGTGCGTATGTCAAGGGTGCGGTGAGGGGACAGCTAAGCGTGACTTGATCAGAGTTTAGCTGGATATTAGGCGAAGCGAGGAGAACGTGGTCGATATGCCACCCTGATGGGCTGCCGTATAAGAAGAATGGCATGGTGAGACGGGGATAAGCGTTGGAGAGGTGGGCATTATCGAGTTGTCTGTTGACGATGATTTGGATGTTTGTGAGAGGGATGTTGGTTAATAGACGGGTGCTACGTGTTTGCGCGTGAGCGTGTTGAATCGGATGTGCATATGACTCGGAAAAGCCTACTCACGATTCCGGTGCTACCCCTTGATCAACATTCACCAAAAACGTTCCCTGCACCAACATCTCTTGCAAGATCCCAGGTTTCGCATTCATCAACGTACAGACCTGCTTCGGGTTCCGCGTTCGAGCTCGCACGTATTCCGCCATCGCATCCGCAGGTAAATCACCACTAACAATAACCTGATATCGGTGGTTCGCCATATTGAGCATCGGTAAGTGGACGAGGTAAAGTCGGTCTAGACCTTGCATGATAAATCTATGAACGTCTGGTGAGATCGTATTACACCTCCGGGATGTTTCAACCTCTTCTTCGATGACTATTCGTAGATCGTTGATGATAGTCTTGGTGAACTCGAGGGTAGTGGGGAACGGTGACATGACGACGTTGATGAGTGAGTATAGATCTTCCGGGGTGTCCGTGTCAAGCCCGAGTCGGCGTTTGTATGTTTTCAAACAGTCTCCGTAAGCAGCAGAGGGGAATACACTAGAAGTGAGGAAGAGAGGTTTATTGGTGATGGTATCTTTGGGCGAAACGATGGAAAGTCGCTCAAAGATTCGTCGGTTGAGGTCGTTTGCTGCAGTGACGTCTCGGTTGGGTTTACCGTCGAGTACGGCGAATGCGTTGATGGAGAGGTCTGAGCCCATGTCTTTGATGAGTTTCATTGCTGAGGAATCTTGGACGAGTATTTCGTTTGGGACACTGAGGATGCGTTTTCGAATGAATTCTTTTTGGGCTTCGATGTCTCCTCCTTCTAGTTCGGCGGGTAGCAGGTTCAGGGGTGTGACGATAAAATCCGTGTCCTTTGTTGACATGGTAACAAGGTGAGCGTACATCTGAGGATCCGATAGATACATGAGTGAGTGTGACAGGAATGCGGGACGCTTACGATAGCGCAGCCGAATACTGCCTCGCCGAGCAGTGCACCATATCCTTTAGGGTGCAATCCAATGACTTCATGGGAGAGGAAGGTAGCGACAGGTGCCGCACCGGGTTTGCTGTTGGGACTTGTCAGACAACATGACCACACCCCAATTCAACTTTACTCGCCTTCCTTCAATTCCATACACACCCATGCTCTCTTCACCACTTCGATTCACAATTGGGCTAGTCCACGTAACCAAATATCGCATCCTTTCATCGCGATACAAAAGACCACCAGCGGGGTATTGGATGTATCCACTCTTGTGAGGATCAACTGTTAATGAATCGGAAAACCTCAGGCTGCGAAGGCTGCGCTGGGTTGATTCTTTGAGTGCAATAGAGGGAACAAAATGCCGTCCGTCTCTG